ATGGCTTCAACTCTAATCCAATTTGAAAAACCCATTTTTTAAGAAATACCACCAGCTTTGACACTACTAGAATGTGTTTCTAATAAAACCAACACATTAATCTTCTTATCTCTAGTTAAGTCATGAACTTGGATAGGGAAGTTTTTTGAGGCAGAGCCCCTACAATTCCACACTAATATATTCATAAAAACAAAGAGGGGTAAAAGACCTGAAGATCATTATTGAGTCACCTAAGGGGTTGCAAGCACTCCCTCTAAGTCACTTTCTTCTTCTTTACCTTCCATTTCATAGAAATTTTCTTATACTTCTTTAATGCCGTTATCCAATGAATCCTTATTCTTCTCGAGAATTTGTTAACTAGGAGGGTCATTGGAATGAGGGAAAATGATTTCCCTTATCTCTATCGTCATTAGTCTAATTCCTTCATTGATATACTCATGGGTCTCTACTAGTTTTGAATCCTGTTGATGATCAGTGTTGGTGTTGGGCTGGATTAATTGATCTAAAGCCAATGGGCCCTTGAAGGACAAGTTTCCCATAGTAACATTATGTAGCCTTTTGGATTATTTTCTTTTCAAAACTAGTGATAATATTTTGGGCCTCGTTGCAAGACTTCTTTTTAGTCCACTAGCTAATTTGCTAGTCATAATATGGCCTGATCCTTCCACTTGGCCTTTTCTCTTTACATTACCTTTTCTACCCTTCTCTTCCTTATGTTTTTAGTTGAGAAAGAGAAAACTCTCTTGGTGTCTTCTTTTGTAAGCTTCATGCTAGGCTGTGAGTTTTAGTTAGTAGGCTTGTCCTTTTTAAACTTTCATTTTTCTTGATCAGACACATAAGCTATTGAGCTGCCATTTTCATGTCCTTCTGTTTGATCATCCCATTTTTCATACTATTTTCATTCTTTTTCTTCCTTCATACATTTTTTTTCTGAGCCACTCTCTCTTGGGTCTGCTCCTGCTCTAAGTCCAGATCTTTAGACAGTACTACGAATTTGGACGTAGCATTTGTGATATTGATGCCTTGGTAGTTTGTCTTTTGGCCAGCGAATCCACCGTAGCTTGATTTTCTAGTGTCATTTCACCATACTCTTAGTTTGTAAGGCTTTTGGTTAATCATCCATTCTCCATAATGTTCATCCAGTAGTATATTATTAGGATTTAATGTTGAAGGGGATGTTGCTTGCTTCTATCCTTAGGGTTTGTCTGAATGTTTTCCTCCTCCTGCTTCTGTTTTGACTTCTAGAATCTTCATGAGACAGTCTTCACTCTTGTGTTCGACCTTGCCATAATTGAAGCAAATGACATTAATTCCTTCATACATCATAGTAAATATCCTCCTTCTAATAACAAAATGAGAGTAAAGAGGTTTCGTCAAGTCAACTTTTACACTCACACGAGCATATCTTCCTCTCTCCACATGTTCTTTTGATTAACTTGGGCAAGGCTATACATATCAACTTTTAGGGCTTTCCCTATCATGTTGCCAATTTCCTACATGAACTCCTCATTATAACAGTGCATAGGAAGAATAAGGATAAACTCAAATCCATAGAGCAATCTTTTTTATCTGATTAGTGAAAGGATTGAAGTTCAGGCTCTATCATTGCACCACAAGGAAATGTGTCGAGATTACCCATAGACCATCACTAAGGACCTTTTGGTATAATTCAACATTCTCTATCCTGAACATGAAGTAATTGTTCTTAAAATCTATAAGTTCAAAGTTATACGTACCCTAAATCCTAGCGAATTTGGACCTAAGTTTTGCAAGTTGAATCTTCTTCCCCATCAATGTTATGATCAAAGCCTCTTTCCATGGACCACAAAGCTCATTGAGTCTATCATCCAGTACTTTAATTGTAGGTAGAGAGTCCACAATCTTCTGTTGTTTGGCAATCCACTATGGTGTACATAAAGTTTCCTGTTTCATCCATTCTTTGAATTGTTCTTCAAAGTCTCGTATCGATTTTGTCTCCTCTCTTCTAATTAATTTTACCTTGTAAGATATCTATTTGGCACAAGAAGCAATCTCAGGTTGATGGCTTTCTGAAGAGTTTTTTCCTTTCAGACCTTGTTTTTCTCCAAGTGGCTGCTCTTTCTCCTTCATATTAGTGTCATTCATCATATCTGTATTATGCATTACTATGTCATTATCAAGTTTTTTGGTGCTACGTGCAAGGACATCCTCTTCTTCAATCGAACGAGCTCCTCCCTCATCCTCAATAGAAAAAGTGGAGGAAGTCAAAAAAATAGCCTTAAAAGGAGTCAAGTTTCTAATCATGTTATTATTGCCCAAGAAGTATTGAATACTATGATAAACAACAAATCAAGAAAGGGCCTAATAACCATCAAGGTGGATCTTGAAAAAGCCTATGACAGGTTGAATTAGAGATTTGTCAAATGATGCCTAAAATAGGTGGGATTCAAAGGTAAAGTTCTTAAACTAATACAATTTTGCATTAAGAGCCCAACAATGAAAATCATTTGGAATGGGGAACTAACAAAAGAATTCAAGCCTTCGAGAAGGGTTCGTTAAGAAGACCTTATCTCTCCTTACATCTTTACACTTCGCATGAAAAAACTCAGCCACATGATTGAGGATGATATTAATCTAGGCAATTGGAAACCAATTTATTTGAACAAGAATGGACCATCAATTTCTCATCTTTTCTTTACTGATGATCTTATCTTTTTGGCGAAGCTTCATTGGACCAAATAGAAGTTATAAATAGTTGCTTGGAGATGTTTTACAAATGTTCAACTCAGATGGTTAATAAGAGCAAACCCAAAATGTCTGTTTCTAATTCAATTCATTTCTCCAGAGCTATGGCTTTAAGCAAACAACTGGGAGTTAGCCTCATGGGAGAGCTTGGAAAATATCTAGGTATCCCACTACTGCACAAAAGAGCTAGTTACTCAAATTTCAGACCCATCTTGGGTAGGGTTAAAACAAAGCTATTTGGATGGAAGGGCAAATTACTCTCATTTGCAAGAAGATTAGTCTTCATTCAATCAGTGCTCACAATGATCTTAAACTACCATATGCAAACCATGCTCCTTCCAAAGAAAATATTGCAGGAAATTGAAAAAGAAAGTAATGCTTTTCTATAGGGCAGCAGAGATGGCGAGAAGATACTCCACCTTGTCTCTTGGGATAATATGAAACATAAGAAGGAGTCGAGTGATTTAGGGGTAAAGGATCTACAAACTTAAAATCATGCCTTCATCTTGAAACTATACTGGAACATGGTCACTAATCAGGAAGCATTATGGGTTCAAGTCCTAAGATCTAAATACAAGTGTGGTGAAGCTAATATGCCTTCAATCTCTAAAAGGAAAAATGCCTCAAAAACTTTAAAAAGTATCATTAAAGTATGGGATACCTTCAAAGAGGGCCTAGAGAAAAGATACCCGTCGGGTAAATCCTCTAAATTCTGGTATGATAACTGGTCCTTAATGAATGAACCATTAATCAAGTATGCTATGAGTAATACTCTCCTACTAGATATAGAAGCCACTGTTGAAGACTTTATTACTCCTAGTGGTGCATGGGACAAAGATAAAATGGTGAACTGGCTTACTTCCTTCATTATTAATCAAATTACTAGCTTTAGCCCACTCATAATAATAAGGAGTGAGAAATTTGTGCAGAAGCCATCTACTGATGGTGTTTTTAAAATTAAATCTGCGTATGATTTTCTTTTTGTAGGTATTAGAGATTATAGAGAAAAACTTTGGACAAAAATCTGGAGATGGAGCATATCGAAGAAGATGAAAAATTTCATTTGCCTCTTGGGAAACAACAGAGTGCATTCAGAAAAACTTAGAGAAAGAAGAGGTCTTTCAAACTTGAGCACATGTCCTTTTGGATGCAACGAGGAGGAGACAGCAATGCACATTGTTAGAGACTGTAGAGTTGCCAGGGATGCATGGAGACAAATTATTAAAATAGAACACCAGAGCAATGTTATGCAACAACACTGTCTTGATTGGATTCAATGGAATGCTAAGAATGATCTTGGAATAGATTTTGCAAAAAAGGTACCATGTTCCACTACCTTTACACATGTATGTTGGGAACTATGGACCAACAAATACACAAATTTATTTGGAAATGAAGAGCCAAAAATGCAAATTGATACAAATAAATGCATCTGGAAAGTTGTAACAAATTTTAATCTGATAGGAAGAATGAAGATGGAAAAATCCACTCTCAAGCCAATTGACAAGTGGCACCCTCCAACAAAAAATTTTGTCAGACTTGATGTCGATGGATCAATATACGTAAACAGTCTTACCACTTATAGTGGAATGGTAATAGATGAGAATGGCAACTGGGCTACAAGGTTTTGTAGTAGAATTGGGCAACTCCCTTCTGTTAGCGAAAATTATGGGAATCATAACAAGTTTAGAAATTTGCTAGTTGAAAGGATTCAAAACGGTAGAAGTCTATTCTGATTGTGTGGAAACCATTAACATCATAAATAGAGACCATAATGATAAGCACCCCTTCCATGATATTTTATCCTATGCTATTAGCATTTTGAATGAAAATTGGCCCGTTTCCATTAGCTTTATTTATAGAGATATTATTAGCGCAGCTCATCAGCCAGCTAAGAAAGCTCATTTTGAGAAGAGTTATTTTTGCCCCTTCAATAATCCACCACCTTAAACTTTTGTAAGGGGTGTATGATGATTGATTTGGACTCTCTTGTAGTCTGTTTGTCTTTTCCAAGTTTTCTTTTATAAATGGTATTCAGTTTTAATCCCAAAAAAAAAAAAAATTTCTAATCATTGTACCCATGAACAACTTAACAAAGCACGTACCAGCTGCCCCATCACAGGCTGATTTAGGTGCTCGCCACCCTTTCCCCCTTTATCTATCTAACACTCCACAATATCAAATTTAGCATCAAGCTCTATACCCACCCCCCCCCCCCAAAAAAAAAAAAAACAAATGCAGCATCAAGCTTCCACCTACTCTCGCAGCTCGCAGTCTTCATCAACGTAACATTGATTCCATAGAATAAAAGTCAAATTTTCAATATTCAAAATACGAATGTGCACCTGAGAAGCATCACAGTAAGGAAGAGCTCCCATTCCCCAGCTGTGGGGTTAGTAGGCCCAGGAGCCCCTAATCAGCCTTCACAGGTGTAGGTTATTTACTTGATACGTAAGCTATTCATTAATGCATTAAAAACAAACAGAGAACACAGTAAACTAAAAGTTCAAGGAATTAGCCGAGTAAAGAGGCATTCCTTCAGGTCTTTTCAGAAATATCCTAAGGACATCATCTAGAAAGCCTTTAAAGCGAAGTTATTCTCAGTTTGCACGGTCCCTGAGGACTTCAAGATCCATCTCTGTAGGGTCTGTTGCCTGAATCTCATAATGGATACCCTCCAGCTCCCGTCTGAACCTGTCCTTGGATGTTGCATACAGCATTTTTGCACGAATTCGGGATACAGAAGGAGACCTGTAAAAATTGAATTAAAAAAAACCCACAACCAAGGCAACAAATAGATCATGAATGAGCCAACTTATATAAGGCTTTAACCTGCTCTGGTTTAAACATAAAATTATGCCATTGCCAACATGCATGGAAGCTTGCACCAAAATATTCCATCATGAGATTAACTTGCCATCTGCAAGTAATAAACCACGCCCTCCCTACTTCCCCAAACATTAAACGAAAGAAATAGTAAAAACCAACAAAAACTACTGCGAGGGGCAACATTCCTAGATTGTCAGTCAATAATGAAGATTCAAACTCAAACATTTGTTTTCCCTCTTCCCTAAACAACAGCAACAAGTGCAAGATCTAAAATTTGTATTACTATAACAGCAGTACCTAGTGAATAAAACCCAAAATATTCACATTACCAAAGGACGACTCAAATGCCAAATTGAGATGTGATTGATAAGATGGTTTGTGATCTTAAATGAAAACATGACACAACAGTTAACGTGCAGGGAAGGGTGAAAAAACTGTAACACGAATCAGGACTCAGGCTGTGGGAAGAGGAGAAAACAACAAACAAATAAAACAAGAAATCTCAAGCACAAAAGAGGCACATACCAGCTGTTAAATCTGTTTCCGATACATATTGCATTTCAGGATTAGCATTCAATCAAAAGAAGGTTGAATAAAAAATTTTTAAAAAAAAGCAGGATTCAAGTAGTGGGAAGATGAGAAAAGACTCTACTAACCAAACAAAAGGGTCTGAAACACGAGGGGAACAGAACGGTTGGTCAATAGAGCAAAATCACTGTTTCCAATACACTTGTCAGTCCAATATTGAGCACCCAGATAGAAAGGGTGCTTCAAATTAAAATTGAGCATCTTTATCAAATATGGATGTGAAATGAGAGCTATTAGAGTTCAACAACAGAGTCAGAAACTTGGAATCTTCATTAATTAATACAGTAGATAGTATTGAGAAAAGAACTTCCATACCATTTATCTATCTTAGAATTGCTGTATCTAATAAAATTTACTATAAATACAATCAAATTTAATTTTGCTTGATCATATGATTCCATCAACTTGCTTCCACTCAATATGAAAATTCTACTTGGTATACATCAGAGCAATATATTTATTTCATCTAGTGAAATTAGCACATACAATAAGCTGCCTTTAGAATAAATGCAGATCGTCTTTCCAATTCAAATACAAGTCACACAGCAAACAAGAAAATTACAATCCGTGCTTCAGCATTCCTCTTCAAAATTAGTAAATCGCATATTGAATCCACCAATCACTCTACTTGTTATTTACACTATATACTTTGTGTCCAAATCGTAAACAAGTAGAACCATAATAGCTATGCCATAGTGACACTCCAGATTCTGTGAATTGAGCAAAATTTTGTAATTTCAGTGTCACAAAATAATGGTTCAGCCAGTCAAACTCATGCACTATTCTCCGCGCGTAAGAATTTGTGAATGATAAAGGTCTAACATTTATGCACTAAATAAACCATAATCTAGAAAGGGAGCATTCATAGCATAGCAACAGAAAATTGTACAGAAAGTCTTTTATAACCTTGCAGCAAAGGAATATAAAAAGTACTGGAAATAGCAAGAATATAATAATATAATAATTCGTATAGACATCACCCGTCCACATGAACTCAATTGCCTCATTGACAGAGAATATGAACATCTTTACCTAATTCAACTTTAGATGCTAACCAAAGACAATAAGTAAAACAAACATATCAGGATGAAGTAAGCAGGATCTGAAATGCATCAAACAATTTGTAATTCAGATTTGTCAAAACTTTTCATCAGTTCATCCTTCACCATTGGAAAACTAGATTAAGTTGTATTTCTAAGATTAGAATATTACTGATGATGAGATAGTGAGCAAGTAATGACATGACATAATAGGAGCTTCATAGAGGAGTTCGATACTGTCATCTTCCACCCATTACCCATCAAACCATCTTTCAGGTGACTAAAGTGATTTTGACGCTTGCCCTTTCATTCTCAAATATTTTTGTCTCTTGCTTTCTTTTTAAGAGACATCTGTATTATAAGTCTTCAACGCGAGTCATGAAATAGAAAAACGCACTGATTTAAAGCAGTATATATCCAAATCAAGGTTAATATTTTTTCTCCAGGTGAATAAAAATGCGTTTTCCATTATTTTTGAAGAAATCAAGTAACTAACCATGCGATAAAAAAGATTTTGCTCTTTTGACAGTTCTCAGAAGTTACAAAATCGAAGTCATAGACGGCATATCGGCAATCATTCTCAGGTAAGGAAGCAGTGAAATCATCATAGCTCTCAGCAGGGCCCCCTGTCTTCTCAACCACAACTTCTTTCTTTTTCTCATCAATCTTAAAAATGACGTAGCGGTGAACTTTCTTCCTCTGCAGTTCCAAGTATGTGCTTACACTATGCTCAGCAACCCCCATGCCAGAAGAGGCATTTCCCTAAAATGAAGTCAAGTGTTAAATACTGTATCCCATTAAGGGCAGAATTTTTTTTATTAAAACCAAATATGAAAATCAAGGGAATTAGAAAATGAAACTGAAGGTTCTTTCTGTTAATTCATAGTAATCGCATCAAGATATAACCAAACTTAATTGCAACTCAACGGGAAAAAAATCGTTGTAGTGCATTAGGTAGGAATAAAGCATACAGCAGCACCAATCTTTCATGTGATAGGATACAACTAAATCTGATACAATATTCAAATGATTTCTTAAAACTTCAGCGTCGTGAACCCACTTAGATATGAACCAACCAAAATATTTCAATTTTAACAAGGAGAACACCAAACCATGAGCAGATCCCAGCTCCAGCGCGTGAATAAAAGCCAACAAATTCCAGCAGCTTACATTAGAATTGCATCAGGAAAACTGAAATGAAGTTGCAGAGAAAAAGGCAGCCAGACCAGATAGTGAAAACCAGAAAATCCACTACCCCCATAGCCCGATATCAATAATAAAATTTGTAGAAAGCTTGTCAGTCACAGCGTGCTATCAAAGCCTACAAGAAGCATCGATAAATCCAGTTTCTGCGATATATTTGAAGTTTTCTACTAAGACCAACATCGATTTGAAGCCAAGTCAGCTAGCGCGGAGAGCTATGTATTTAATTAAGCAAGTATCACGAAGAAAGGGAAAACTTCACTCCAGTACAAGAATCGTGTCAGAACTACTGAGCTAGAAGAAACAAAAATTGAGACCGGAAATTCCGGTAGTAAGTTCATGAAAATCAGTCAGCGAACATGTCTATATGAGACCAAGAAAGGAAAAACAAATCCACACAAGAGGAAATCGGAAATCAAGCGGAAAGCACAATAACTTAAGGCAAACTAAAATAATGGAAGCGCATTTCAAGATCTTCATCAAAATTAGAAGAACGAGAATCAGAAGAGCAAAAAAGCAAAGGAAGCATACCCCTCCTCGGAACGCCATAGCTACAGAGACCACCAGCGAGTTAACAACCAGCGAGAAGAGAATGATAGAAGATTAAAAATCAAAATAAGAGAGAGAAATTATTGAGATAAAAAAAAAAAGGAAAAAACATTGGAGGAGAGAATAATGAGAGGAGTAGAAAAAGAGGAAAGGAAGGAGAGGAGAGGAGTGAGACGGAAGGGAGAGGAGCGTCGTTTTGTTTTTTCTGATAAAGAGGTTGGACCGCCCCTATCCCTACTGCGGATCGTCTGGTGCCAAATTCAGGTCACCCCAGGTAGTACCGACTCGTTTCATCACACTGAGGCCATCGCTGTCAAGCGTCCACGTGTGCTCTTATATTTGTACGTTTCTTTTTTACTTGAACTTTTTGATATTTTATTTTAAAAACTTTTACACAAATAACTCATATTATAAAATTAAATAAAAAATAATTTATTTTTTTAAATTTTAAAAATAACTTTTTTAATATTTATATTATAATTAATTAAAAATGTGTCCTTTTTAATATCTACTTTTTTCAAATATCAAGAGAGTCAAAATGTAAAAAATCTATAGAACGAAAGAGACAAGTGAAAGAGAAGACTGAACTCGACTTGAGAGAGACGAAAGCGAGATAGTAGAACAGTGTGAATGAGCCACAATTATGATGGCAAGAGACAAAATTTGAGGAGAGATACATCGGCGGTGCTCAACAGAATTGTGCATGTCGGCGAGAAAACAAGGCTACGGATTCATAATTTTTTATTTTATCAATTTAAGTGTTTGATTCTCTGCGATAAGTTAAGAGTTTAAAATTTTTTATGGACTATATTTAATCTGTTTTAAGTAAATGATTATATATTTTTTGTGTTACTAATCTACACAACTATATTATTGATATATGACTATATATCAATTATAAATAAGTTTATATCTGATTGTCTAGTTATATTGATTTATGATAGTATATTAGTGATATACTATGTATATCATTGATATATAAGTCATATCAGCGAAAATTTGTTAATTTATTTATCATTGATATATAATCATATATTAATGATGTTGTATCATGGATTAATAATGGAGTTTCTCTTCGTAATATATAAGAAAAACAAAGAGGGAGAGAGAGGAAAAGCTCTAAAATAAAGATGGTGATCTGAGCAATCATATCAAAAATTTTGATAAAGAAAAGTACTGTACAAAAGATGAATATAAAAATATAGAAAAATCAAATTAAAAAAGGTGATAAAAAATTCAAAGATGATAAATTAGATAGGAAACATGTACAATATGATTTTTTATGCTAAAAAATAAGAGATTTAATCAGTTAAAGAATAGTTAAATCAGATATATTATATTTTAATAATAAATTTATTTTGAGGATAAAAAAGGAAAAACACGTCTAATTAGTATCATATTCTGAAATATTTAAAAACCTCATCCATAATTAATGAAAGTTATATTTTTTGAGGCCATTAAATTAATTTTCTCTTTATTTTATTTAGAATAAAATATAAAAATTGAAAATAAAAAAGAATTCTAACTAATCTTAATAAAAGTAAACAACATCAATGTATTTTTCTCTCCATTTTTAATGCAATATTAAAGTGCTACCGCGTATTCTAGTTCTAGACACTTTGAAGAACAAACCATACCCTTTTTTTAATGAAAACAAATCATACCTTTTACTAAACAAATTTAGATGGGCTAAATAATAAAAGCTCATGTGCAAGGAGAACCAATTACAGCATTTAATGCAGTTTTTTATATTGTTTTATTTAATTAACATTAATGATGACTATTAATATTGGACACAGATGATGATTATTTGAATTTTTAATGGTTAGATCTTATACAATCTTATTTATTTATTGGAGTATATTCTTTTTTGAAGGTATGGGAACTTTTGGGGAAATGATAGTCGCAAAAGTTTTAGCAAGAGCACAGTTAATGACATCAAAACTTCAATATGTCGATTAGGCGCAAAAAGGTCCTTTACGAACCTAACTATTCTAGTTTTGTCAAATTGTGATTTTAACCTACTTGTTAAACTGTGCTAGACAGATTTATGTTGCTTTGCTGCGATGAATATAAATACGATTCATGCCCACAAAAAAGCTACAAACATGAATAATATTGTAAGATTAATAGCATACTTTGCGAAATACAGACAAAATATAATGATAGTGAATCACTGAAAATTAGATGGAAACAATATTGATAAAAGTATATCATGATTTATGATTATAGCTAGAATATGTTGGAACGACTTATTGTAGATTTTTTCCCCATGTCACACATGTGAGTGTAGTGTTTTTGTTTTTTTCGTTTTAGACATAATAAATGTTTTTGGAAATGAAAGGGTTGTTTCACTTGACAACAAGCCCATTAAAGGCCCAATCAATGCTGATACGGGCTGATAATTGTTGCGGGAGGAACTAAAAAAACTAAGATTCTAGATTTCTCGTTGGAGAGGTGATGTGTCAGTAAACGTTTTTCGTTTTTTGGCATATCGCGATCGATGGGGAAGTGAATACCCCAGGACATAATTCTCTGACTAGAAAACAGGCCTAGTGAATCATAAATTACAGAGAGTTTTGAAATGTCTACAAATCAGTGGACCAAAATATCTTGAAAAGAATTACTTTCAATAAAAGATATATGTAATTAAAAATAAAAACTTAGAATTATTTTATGGTTCCAAAATATAAAATAATTTGAAAAATAATAAAATTTAATTATGATATTTTTATTATATACAAACGATTTGTAATATGAAGAACGAGGTACTACTGAGTACTGACTTGACGATGAGAGCCATTTTGCTAGCATGGGAGACGTCTAACTTCATACATTAATATTGACGTTGTAAATAAGGGTATTTATACGTTTGATTGGTTTGGCTTTGAAAAAGAATCAATCCAAATTAAACCAATCGATTCGCTGTAACTTGAGTGCTATTCAGTTTTTTCTTTTAATCAATTTGGTTCAATTTAGTTAAGATTTGGGTTAAGTATGAATTTTTTTATGAGATATTATTCATGATCATCAATATATTATTTATTTTATTGATAATTTTTAACTATTAATTATTATTTGTATGAAAAAAAATCTCTTCAATACAAAAGAATATTTTTAACAATTCCTTAGCATTTTAAACTATTAAAAAGCAATATATCATCTTCAAATACTTGATGATTAAATCATTATAAACAATTATAGATAGCAATCAGCTAATTGTCCTATATTTTTTGCTAAGAATTTACAGGCCTAAGCTTAGAAAAGGGAAACCAATTAAACTTAGCCAAATTTATAAAAATATACTATAATATACTCCCTCATTTAAAAATATAAGATAGTTTTTAATTGAATCTCACCTCTAATAAAGTAGTTTATTTGTTTTCAAACTAAACTTATCTTTTCATATTTACTCATATATTAATAGAATGTTTTATCCTAGCATAAATATAAAGTGATTTATTTAATACGGCACTTAAACCAAAATAATGATTACACCCTAAAAAATAAAAAAAATTAATTTTTTTATATTTTTAACATTAACCCCTTAAAATTTTTTTTTAATGGAGAGAGTATATAATAAAAATTGTTTTAGTTTTGTTAAGTTTCTAGACATAAAACCTTGAACCAAACTAACCCCATCCATTTTTTAAAAAAAAAACTAAATCCAATATCATTTATAATCCGTTTTGATTAGTTCTATTCGTTTGGTTAGATTTAATTTGATGCAATCAATTTGAATTAGTTTTAAATACCTTCAACTGTAATGGTCCTTTTTCGAAAGTCATAGTTATTTTTTAAACGCTGTCCTCACAAAAGGGTTTTACTAGTCAAAATATGTGTATACTTAGCTTCCAAATTCTAAACTAACGAGTAAATATATTATGAATGCAAGTGTAAAGGAGAGTCCCATTTAAAATATTTAAGCTAACAACTAACATATTTTTCGTGTATTATCGAGATTGAAGTAATATTAATTACTATGCGTTAAAAAAAATCAAATTTTTTAGGAACCAAAAATTTAATAGCCCATTCTATATTATAAGACATTTTTAATTAAATTATAACTTTCAATAAGTTAATTAATTGTCTTTCAAAGTACACACTTTTTTTATTTACCTTTATTTTAATGTGGTGCCTCAATTAGAAAATCTTATTATGGACACTTAATTAAGAGTATTTTTAAAAAAACTTCATTAACTATATTTTTGAAAGATCTAAAATCATATCTTATATTTTTAACATCTTATTTGCAAAAAATGCCTTTAGTTTTGAGAGGGGAAAGTATTAATTTTGGAATAATGATACTTCCAATCAAATGCATAATGGCATCAGACAACTCTAAAATTTCCCTTTAACCACTATGCGAATCACTAAGGGAGAGGGGGGTGAAAAGTGTATGAGAAATTATAATTGACATTATTCGTGCGATTGACTAATTAATTAGTGTGCTTGGAAATTTGTGCAAATAAAGTTTTGAGGAGAATTAAAAATGAAATTCTGCGAAGCTAACATGAGCAAAACTTGGCATATCCATGTAGACAAGATCAGATATGGAAAAATAAACGGGAGTGGAAAAATAAACAAACGAGAGTGGAAAAATAAACACACACATAAAGCACATAGTCTTGCTTTGACGCGTAAATGAAAGGAAAATAGTGGGAAATGGGGATGCATTACTGTCTACTTTAATTAGGCACATATCACATCAATATCAAGGTCATAATCAGATGATTAAATGGATTCGTGAGATTCAAAGTTTCGCACTGTACGAGATTCCAGTCAATCGAATGTAAGCGCGCTGGAAATGTTGCTCCTCCTGGATGACCAATCAGCGATCTGGACACACTGTCATCCGTGAAGCTTGTATTAGTTCCGGCTTCACACTGCTTACTGTAGACAGATCAGATATGGAAAAATAAACGGGAGTGGAAAAATAAACAAACGAGAGTGGAAAAATAAACACACACATAAAGCACATAGTCTTGCTTTGACGCGTAAAATGAAAGGAAAAAATAAGTGGGAAATGGGGGATGCATTACTGTCTACTTTAATTTAGGCACATATCACATCAATATCAAGGTCATAATCAGATGATTAATGGATTCGTTGATTCAAAGTTTCGCACTGTACGAGATTCCAGTCAATCGAATGTAAGCGCGCTGGAAATGTTGCTCCT